ACGACATAACCTGTCCAGGTCTGTGGGGACTTCCTGTCAGGATGAGCTTCATTGTTAAATTACAGCACAAACACTTCACTGCTCCTGGAAAACAGTTTGATCGAGGACTTGAAAAGATAAAAGAAACAAACAAAGAGGTAGTGTGTGTGGCACGAGGATGTGAGAGTGTTAGTGTTTCACCAGGCTGTAGAAGAAGAAAACCGGTTTGCATTGAAACTGTATGATAGTACAGTATTAACTGTACATACCATACAATCTTGTCGTAGGAGTTTGAAGCCAACATAGTGAAGTTGGCCCTATCTCACAATGGGGAAGGGCCCTTTAAATAACATTCCTGGATCCAGATGACGGGCAGCTAATGGACAGGGCCGAACCCTACTGCTCCAAAACATTTAATCAAAATTCACACTTCTTGAGTTGTGCTGTGAGCAAACCAACAAACAAACCAACACTGGTAAAATCATAACCTTTTTGGCAGAACTATAAATGTAATAATAACATCAATAGATTTAAGTCACACTTTACACACTGCAGACTGAAGAGATGGGTTTTTGTCTACTTTTAAAAACATCACTATTTCCACATCTTCTCAGGTTGTGGAAGCAACTAAAAACAGCATCACCAGAGGTTGTAGTTGTGTTTTAGAACAGCTAAAAGAGGAGCCAGAGGCTTCTCTTGTTCAGAAATTAAAAGCATTTCTGATAAATATTCTGGTCCAAAACCACATAGCACCCTACAGGATGATTAAATCTGACGTCTCTTCCGGTCCCAACCTGCTAATCTCATTCAGATTTTGATGTGATGCAAAGTTTCAGCAAAGAAACGATCTCTCAGATGTTTTCTCCTCTCCCCCACAGTTCCCGCTGCAGTCCGTGAGGTACGGGTCAGCAATAACGGGCGTATGGACTTCCTGAGTGTGTCGTGGCGTCCGGCTGCAGGTGAGGTCGACAGTTACTTGGTGAGTCTGAGGGACCGGGAGGAGACAGTTCACAGCCTGGCTGTTTCTAAGTCCAGTCCGGAGTGTGTCTTTAACTCTCTGGTGTCCGGACGCCTCTACAACATCTCCATCACCTCCCTCAGCGGCAGCTACCAGAACCACACCTTCGTCCAGGAGAGGACACGTAAGTACATCACTGGGTTCTGTGTTTAACACTGTGGGTCCGTTTGAGGTAAGAGACTGGCGATCCTGTCAGAACAGTGGTTTAGACCTGGATTATCGCTCTGCACATGAGGTTTGCTTGGAAAATCCCTTGGAACTCATGTTGAATTATCAAGTGTTTAACAGTCTAATCCAGCTACTTTTCTGTCTCAGAGCCGTCGAAGGTCCAGGACCCAACCGCGACCCATGGCGCTCGGGACGACTACCTGAGGGTTTACTGGCGTCACGCTGCCGGAGATTTTGACTTCTACCAGGTGTTCATCAAACACAACAATGTGTTCCTGCAGAACCAGACGGTGCTGAAGACTCAAAGCGAGTGTGTGTTCAATGGCCTGGTGCCTGGAAGACTCTACACCGTGCTGGTGAACACCTGGAGTGGGAAGTACGAAACCAGCACCTCCACCCACGGCAGGACCTGTGAGTACGCTCTGACACTGACACAGCAACACTTTATCTGTCAGCGGTGCTGTAAAAAGATCCATCAAAACAGCCATACTTCAGTGTTATTATTCCAAAATATGAATATGGACACAGTTACACATTTGAAAAAAGGGAAAGTGTGTGGGTAGTGACTGCTGTCACCCAGAAGTTGACCTAATCTAATCTAAATACAGTAAACAAGCAAAAAAGCAGGTGTGGGCCCTTTCTCACCTATTGTATTTCACATGGTTATTTCAAAATAAAAGCCCAGAGCAGCAAACCTACACAAATGTTACATAAAAGTTTAGATTCTTTTAATATGATTTCCTTAAAATTAACCCAGAACCATGATTTGGTGCTGTATAAATGCAGCTGAATTGAGCTGAACTGAAATTGAATTCAGTCTGAGATACCACCAGATCCAGACTAATCTAACTTCCTGTCCTCTCCTGTTCTTGTAGTCCCGGCAGCGGTCCGGTCCCTGGTCCTGGCTGGATGGGGTACCGAGGACCTGAGTGTGATGTGGTCAGCTGCCCCTGGTGACGTGGACCACTACGAGGTTCAGCTGCTGTTCAACGACATGAAGGTGTTTCCCCCTATCACTCTGGGCAGCGGTGTGGGAGAGTGTGTCCTGTCATCCCTCACCCCTGGACGTCTTTACAAGGTCCTGGTTTCCACCTTCAGCGGGCCCAACCAGAGGGCCCAGTTCATAGAGGGCCGCACAGGTCAGAAAACACTGGGGGGAGGGGGAGGACATGTTACTGGTGTTTCCTGCAGAGACAGAGTTAGCTTTCTAACAGTGTTAGAAAATGTCTGGTGGCTTGATACAAGAAGTCAGCTGCGTCTGCAAAAATGAATTTCGGTAAAATGGATTATTAGACTTTGTAGAAACCTAATAATGCTAACAAACATTTACTGCAGGTTTGATTTGACTTTTTTTTCTCCACAGAAAATGTGGCTGAGGCTCATGGGTATTGTAGCATTTACCACTGACCGTGACACACTGACCTCCCAGGGTTTCGGAATCAGATTTCATACATTAGTTTCGCAACAAACAAATTTTACATCATAAACATGGATTTTTCCTGGAAAACAGTGCAAAGGTCAAATAGAGTTTACTGTTATTTGTTGTCCCTAATAAATAAGATCCAAAAACCACATGGATTCTGATCTGACCGTTCTGACAGCGCTCGCACAGTCAGCGGTTGGAGAGGAATCGGCTCTAGGAGCACATACGCAGCTGGCCCAGATCTGGTCTGAGGACACCTGATCTGTTCACACTGCTGTGGACACATTGGGTCTGAGGCACTGGGAGGGAAACTGCAGCTGGGACGTGGACACAGCTTAATAAAGTAGGTTGAAGTACAAAGGACCCTGTTATGTTTAAAGAAGTCTCTCCTCTCTTCAGTTCCCAGTAAAGTGAAGAACATCCACGTCAGCAACAGTGGAGACAGCAGCAGTCTGAAGGTGAGCTGGACCCCAGGTCAGGGTGACGTGGACGGGTTCTCGGTGTTTCTGTACAGAGAGAGCCGACAGCTGGACCGCCGGTCTGTCCTCAAACACCAGAACGAGGTGACATTTGGCTCCCTGCAGCCCGGACAGAAGTACACAGTGATGGTTCAGTCAGTGAGCGGAGACCTGCTCAACAACAGCACGGCCTCCGGACGCACAGGTACTACAGCATGGTACTGAGTAACAGCTCACAGTATATGTACTACAGCACGGTACTGAGTAACAGCTCACAGTATATGTACTACAGCACGGTACTGAGTAACAGGTCACAGTATGTGTTCAACTAGACACAGGTAGTACAGTGCAGTAGCAAAGATCAAACCAGATGTTTCCAAACATTTTCTTCTTTGAGATACACTCAGTGTGTCGTACAACTGATACTTTAAATACCTGAGATTGACAGCACATGTGTACTTGTGTCCAGTGCCCTCAGCAGTGACGGGTCTCCAGCTGGAGAACCTGCACACCACCTGCAGCCTCCAGGTGAGCTGGCAGGAAGCTCTGGGCGTGGCTGATGGATACAACCTGCAGGTGGTGGACAGCAGAGGCAGTCTAGTGGCAAACTCCTCTCAGCCCTCTGGACAGACCAGGCACAGGTTCGACGGCCTCACCCCAGGAAAGAAGTACCGAGTCCTGGTGCAGACCACCAGTGGGGGGGTCCACAGCCTGGCGGTCAGCGCCGAGGCTCAGACACGTAAGACTAACTCAGTCAGGTTAACAGCAGAGCATCAGGGCGCAGAGTAAAATTTGGTCTGAGAAGTAAGTCATAATGTCATAAAGTGATTAAAAAAAGCCCTAATTTGTCAAGAAGAGAAGTTATGTGTTGAGACAAAAGGTTCAAGAATAAAGGTGGAATCTTTTCAAGAAAAACAATCTTGACAAAAAGAAAAACTTTTTTTACAAAAGAACAATGTCATAATTTGCTGAGAAAAGAAATTTCTGTTTTTCAAGAATAAAGATGGCACTCCAATAATAATAATGTCATGATATTTCAAGATGTTGAGGGTTTGTTGAAGGGGGGTGAGGACTTGGCCCTTATTCAGCCTGTGTGGAGTCATGAGACGAGATCCAGGGGGAAAACATACTGACTGCAGCTACATGCACGGAGCGAGCAGCTTGCTCCTCGCTAACATAGAAGACACAGACGTGGTCCGAGGCTAGCTTCTTATATATTATTGGCACAATCAAATCTCGAAAACAGATTTTATTCAAAATATTCAGGTAAACAACAAAAATGCTAATTCGGTCAGGCAGACTGGGCCAGTAGGTGGGACCTGCTGTCACCGTGGAACCGGCGTGGTGGCACCCCAGCTCTCCCTCCACTACAGGTCATAGTATTAAAAATAATAAATCCAAGAGAAAAGCCCGTTTTTACAGGTAAGAGTTGTAAAATCTTTTCATGAATCCACTTGTTCTTCTACAGGCCCTGCAGCTGTCACCAGTCTGACAATTAAAGCCAACTCCACCACCAGTCTGTCTTTCTACTGGTCTCCACCAGAGGGGGACTTTGAGCTTTATGAGATCCTCTTGTACAAAGGTGACGAGTCGCTGCAGGAGAGGCGACGTGTCCAGCACAACAGTCAGCAGTGCTCCTTCCAGGGCCTCAGGCCTGGAGCGCCGTATAGGATGGTGGTACTGACCCACAGCGGGGACCAGAGCAACCAGTCCTCCATCTGGGCCAGGACAGGTGAGGGGGTGCAGACCAACCAGTCATTAGATGAATTAGGTGGAAGTAAACAGACCTCCATCGCTGTGGCAACATCAGGATTTCACTTTGAGTCCTACTGTTTGGCTTTTACCAAGAAATCCAACAAGCAGTTGCCATAAAAATGATGAAAATGCCAAAATTAAGCCAGACCTGTAACTTAACAGTGTTTTAATTTGATGTTGTCCAGTTTTAACAGGCATTCAATCTGTATAGTATAGAAATTATTTATTGTACAGTACATCAAAGGACAGACACTAATATTATACGCGGTCCCTTGAACAGAACTACGACACAGTATTGAGTAACAGGTTAGAATACAGTATATACAGCTGTATGCAGTACTGCCACGATTATTATTGAAGGTGGTGATGTTGACAGGTATCAGTTTGTAACAATCTCCGGATGGTTTCCTCTTCAGTCCCAGCAGCTGTGGTGTCTCTGAGGGCCCATAGTGGAAACCAGTCTGATGCTCTGTGGGTGAACTGGGGTTGCGGTGGTGGAGATCTGAGCGGATACCTGTTGTCCCTCTACAACCCTGACGGCTCCCATCGGGCCAGGCGGCAGCTGGGCTCAGAGGTCACGGGGTTCGTCTTTTCAGACCTGGTCCCGGGTCGTCTGTACCGAGTCGAGGTTCTGAGTCTGAGTGGGGAGCTGACCAACAAAGCCAGCACCATGGGCCGCACCAGTGAGTTACCACTGCCAAGTGCTGTGGTTTTATTATCATGGTTCGTAATTGGAACTGAAACTACTGCTCAGTTCACCAGTTAGCTGATGCACTTGATATTAATCTGCAACACTCTCTAGGTACGTTTTCAAAAACAGTTTTTCAGTTGTCAGGATGTTTTGGTTTTTTGTAAGAGTAAACTGAGTGTTTCTGTAGACGTCACTCTGGGGTCTGAGAAGTTAACAGACACTTTCCCTCCATTTGCTGACATTTTATGAACAAAACAACTTCTCAGATAATTGAGAAAACAATCAGTAATGACAGTGGTCCTGGAGTTCAGGAGGTTTGAGACTTGTAGTTCAGACAGAGAGCAAATCAGAAACATGACGGGTGCTGTCTCAGCATCTCTGCTTAGACTGCTGCCCCCACGACCTTGCTCCGGATAGGCGGAGGAAGATGGATGGATAAATGTTTATCACATCAACAATTTAATCACTTTTGTGTACATATCATATACAGTAGATGTAGAGCAGTAATAAGCTGAGTGTGTATCTGAGTTAGTATATTATAAATGTTTTAAACACACGTTTGACTTTATGATTTCTATCTAAAGTCTTCAATAGAAATGAAAATGTTTCAAATTTATCTTTTCTAACAAAAAATAAACACCACTTCTTTCCTCGCCCTCCTCAGCTCCCAGACCTCCAACCTCTTTCCTGTTCAGGGGCGTCACCAACACCTCGCTGGAGATCACGTGGAGCGGCCCCGTCGACTCCGACTATGACGACTTCGACCTGCAGTGGACTCCCCAGGACCGGCTGTCCGTCATCAACCCTTACCACAGCAGAACCTCCGGCAGCCGCATCCTGAGAGGGATGTTCCCCGGACGCCTCTACACCTTCAGCCTCCGCACCGTCAGTGGGGCCACGGAGCCCGGGGCCACCCACACCTACAGCACACCCATCCACAACAGCATCCGAACCAGTAGGTGGCAGCACCAAAACCGACACCTACAAAACTACAAATTTTTAGTTCAAGGCTATAAAAAAAAACTCCCATCACTGTTTCTACACATAAATGCAGCAGAAACACAGAAGAATAACTATAAGTCTGTTTACATGTAAAGTGGTTGTATCCTGACTGGCTTTTGTCTTTTTCACTGGAAATATGGAAACCACTGGAAATATCCACATTTACAGTTTTAAACATTTCATTCTTGGTTTATAGACCTAACATGTCTCTGCACGATGTATAAATAAAGTTACTGTAAATAAAACCTGACCGGTGTTTTCACCGATCAATAGATGGACAAATGTGTCCTCTAATGCCTCTGTTATAAGAGACTTTGTTTTACATTCTGTACAGTGATTTAGGACACTGGTGTGTGAATAACCACACACACTGTTGTTTGCTGTTCAGCCAGGGGCTGTGGAGCATTCACTAGCACCTGAATGGGAAACAGTACATGCTGTCACTTTCATATATAAAGGAGGTATACAACACTTTCAGTGTTGTCTGAGCTGCTCCTGAGTTGGTTAGACATCCTTAGGTGTTCATATGTCCATAGAAGAAAAAATAAAATAAACTGTTGTCGTCTTTGTGGCACAGACACTGTAGTGGTCGTGCTCAGTAGGTGATGTCATTATTGTGCTGAGGTCTCCTGTTAGCGGTGAGCCATCTTAGTCGCCCTTTCTTATCTATTCATAGGCCACCGTACATTTTAATTTCATGGGTCCATTTCTGACGCATGTTGCTGTCTCTCGCTGCAGAGCCGGAGCGAGTCCACGGCCTCCACTGTCACCCTCAGAGCTCCACCTCCCTCTCCTGCTCCTGGGTGTCCCCCGAGGCTGACTACGACTCCTACACCATCGAGTGTCTCCGCCAGGACTCCCAGACCCTGGTCTACTCTAGGCGCACCGGCCGAGACTCCACCGCCTACCTCATCACACAGCTGGAGCCCCACAAGCGCTACACTGTCTCTGTGAAGGTGATCTCGGACAGCGCGACCAGCGAGGCGGCTCAGGACAGCGTGGTCACCATGATAGACTGTAAGGGAGGGTGGAGGGGGTTCTGAGTTTGTGATTTGTCTCTGTCGGGTCGATTAACAAAAACTAATAATTCTCCGCAGAGACATGTGCAGTTTCTAACGTACCCATCTCTTGTCTTCCCCCGTCTGCTACACTAAAGTTTAACAAACATATTGGGCGTGTTTTCAAGTAATGACGTTTCTAAACCGTGACTCCTGTAGGTCCTCCTGTGCCCCCCTTCAGCACCCGGGTCAGTGATAAGTCTGCTGCAGTCACCAAGTCCTCCATCTTCTTCCAGTTTAACTGTAGCTGGTTCAGCGACGTCAACGGAGCCATCAGGTTCTTCACTGTGGTGGTGACTGAGTCTGGAGGTAGGAGCACGTCAGCAGAGCCAAGCTTCAGCGTCATGAACAGTTTGCAGAAATAATCTCAGTGTTTGGTGAAATCTCTGTGGGTGGGGCCAGTCCTGCACAGGTGTCAGCTAAAGTTACCTGCGCTCTTCATACTGCAGCTACACGCCGCTGCTGAAGCCTCACACTTCCAGATTTGAGAACAGCAAGTAACAATATTAAAGATTTGCTTCATTAGTATTTTGCCCAGACTTACTGTGTTTAGCTACGTTTTTTGTTCTTCCTTCATAGCAGCTCTTCTTTTGCCCGTAAAAATCCAAACCACCTTGTCTTATAGTGATAGGATTGTGAAAATTATTAGCATAGCACTTTAATTGAAGTTAATTAACATTGATTAGTACCAGTCATAGGCAGAGTAGGAAATCTAATTTTATTGTTTTTTTTAGAGCAATCAGAGAGACATCATGTCTAACATCACTGTTGGCTGCTGTTACAGGTTTTAAATCATGCAACAAAATTCTGAGGGATTGCTGAGTTTATGAATGACATCATTATCTGAACACTGACACTGAAAAGTATCAGCCAGGGACGTTGTTATATTTGATGAACCAGCAGAGGAAGATGTTCGCTCTAGCCTGTACTACCCGCACCTTTTCTGTGTGATATGTGTAGGTGTTGATGACGTGCAGCCGGAGCAGCAGCACCCTCTGCCCTCCTACCTGGACTACAAATTGAACAGCTCCATCAAATTCTACCAGACCAGTTACTTCCCCAGTCACTGCACCCAGGGCCCTGACAGTGGCTCCCGTAGCTTTGAGATCAGTTTGGGGACAGGGATGGACTTGCTGGGGGGCCCATGTGACCACAGGGACACAGACCTGGATTCAGAGACCAGCAGAGACCTGAACCGGTTCTGTGATGGACCACTGAAACCTAAGACTGCCTACAGGTACTGAAGATGCCTGACCAGCATTATAGACATCACGGTTTTCTTTGTCATTTTGAGTCCTTTTATTAAGTGTCCAGTGAAGAGGCCTTTGTCCTTGTCCTCTTATTTGCCCCCCTCATTTCATTATTTCCTCCTCATCATGTGTTTGAGTAAAATGTTATTTTGGTCAGTAAAGTGAGAGTCAGAGGGGCTGAAGACAAAGTACGAGTCTCATGTTGACTGAAGAAAATCCCATCGTGTGGGGATTTTCTTCCATTCATTAGTCAATTGTATCCTGTGTTGAGATTCAAGCCTCAAATTTGTTCCAGTTGCAAAGAACTTCACATTTTTGAAGCAATGGCATCAACATTTTGACATTTAGCTGAATCTACAGAAGTCTTAAATCAGGTCAGGTCAGTGTGTCTCTTTACAGGGCGTTACAACGTGCACATCCTCATTTATGTTTACCCCCTCGATTTGGATGAAGAGAAACTGCCAAAAAAAAGTTAACACAAAAGAAAAACAAGAGCTGGACAGATATGCTGGATGTCGTCTTTGCAGAGTGAACAGAAGTATCACATGTACAATACAGACAAAGAGAAATTAAATTAAAGAAATAGAATAGCATATTTTAAGTAACTATGAAAGGGTTAATTAAAGAGTTTCAAGCAAAACCTAAAAATCTGTTGAAGCTGTTCAAAGCATTCAGAAGATTTTATAAGATCCTGTGGATTTTTGGTGAAGTATTACTAATGTTGTTGCTTAATAATTGAGGGCATGGTGAAAAGAGTACTATGATACTTTACTTGTACTTACAAGTGGAAATGTTGGTACCTGACTGAAACAATAACCCAGCAGAATAAAAAACAATGGCAGTAAAAGTCCAGAAGGTTTTATATGCTGTGCATTTGTGTCCTTCAGGCTCAGTGTCCGAGCTTTCACTCAGCTGTTTGATGAAGAGAAGAACGACTTCTCTGTCTCGTCCCCGCTATTCACAGACACGTACCTGTCTCTGCCCGTGGTCACCGAGGCAGGTGAGGAGGAAGTATCATCTGCTGTACCAGCAGCAGTGAGCGGCTCTGTCAGCTTGTTATAAAAGTCAGACGATAAGCAGAAAGAGTTGATGCCAAAGGCAGACAGGTGGTGGGAGGAAGGAAAGAAACATGAACTACAGGTTAAAACACTGAACAATGAAGAGTTGACTGAATGTGTGTAAACGCACTTTGTTTTTGTCCTACAGAGCCTCTGAGTGGTGTGGTAGAGGGCGTCAGTGCCGGAATGTTCCTCATTGTCGTGTGGGTGGGAGTCACCGCATTGCTCGTCTGCAGACACAAGGCTCGAAGAGTGTGAGTAACTGACAGTAAACGAACGAGTACCTGCAGTAACTGACAGCAAACCGGCGAGTACCTGCAGTAACTGACAGCAAACCGGCGAGTACCTGCAGTAACTGACAGTAAACAAACGAGTATCTGCAGTAACTGACAGCAAACCAGCGAGTACCTGCAGTATCTGACAGTAAACTGGAGAGTACCTCCAGACGTGCTGCATTAAGACCTGTTTCTTTGTGGTGATTTATGAACTGACTGCTGTGGGGATAAAATTTAATTCTGCACTTGAAGATTGTTAAACAGGTGTTAACTGGGTCCAGGGACATTGTGGTACTTTTTATGCCTCTGATAGCCACAGCCAGAGGCATTATGGTTTTGGGTTGTCCGTCCATCCGTCCGTCAGGATCAGAGGCATGGATCCCTTCATCGTACAACAACTGGACAAAAATAGACACAACGGACAAAGAGAAATCAAAAGTTGAACTACAGTATATTTTCATAATGACTGTGCAGGTGTGAGATTTGAGCCTGTGACTGGGCAACAGTGCGGGCGTGTTCCTGTGTGCAGTTGTGCGTTTGCTGTGCAGGTGCTGCTGAACAACACCTAGGTAAACCAACGTGTCACATGTGTTTCAGTGCGGAGGAGAGACCGGTGGTCAGGATGGGTGTGAGGAGGGAGAGAGCTACATCAGGAGTCCACCTGGGCCCCAGAGGGTGAGAGTCACTACTGATCTACTGCATACTGTAGTACTGTAATGCACTACTGATGATACTGTAGTACTGAGACACTCCTTACTGCATACTAACACTGGTAATACTGCTGTATTCTCCCATATACTAACACAAATACTGATAATATTCTTTAGGACTCACTACAAAGGAAACAGTGGGACAGTGACAGCACTGCTCCAGCAGTTTGTGGCGCTGCTTCACTCGTTAAATCTGTCACCACGTCATTTCCATCAGGCTGAGCTGTGACAGGGCGTCACTGTGTGCTGTACATCATCAGCTTCTGTTGTAGTGTGTTTACTGATCAGTATGCACTAACACCTGTCTGTCCTTTTACCTCACAGCAACCGGCGCATCTCAAGGTGAGAAATCAAACATTCCTCTGATTAAAAACGATTTATCGTATTTTGTTTTGTATTAAACACTTTGTTTTCATCCTTCAGTCTGATCAAGATTGTGAACTTTGAGTCTCACTACAACAAACTTCTGGCTGACTCTAACTACCTGCTGTCAGAGGAGTACGAGGTTAGGAGTCTGTCTCATTTAACATGTCAGACATCAGTTTAAAGGACAGTTTCACAGTTTTTTTCTGTGTTCACTTAAGCTGTTGTGTGAGTGAGCAGGTGTGATTTTTTCCATTTAACCTGTGCTGCTAAAGAAAACAACCCGTCTAACCTGTCTGACTCAGCTGTGTTGTTTTCCTCTCTCAGGACCTGAAGGACGTCGGTCGAAATCAGCCTCTGGACTCGGCGCTGCTGCCCGAGAACCGCGGGAAGAACCGATACAACAACATCCTGCCCTGTGAGCGAAGCACACACCTGTACTCACATGAACACGTACGGAGAGCAGAAACGAGCGCTCGCGTCAGCATCAGTGTTGTGTTTCTGTGCTACTGAGTCTTTGTGTTTGTGTGTTCAGACGACTCGACCAGGGTGAAGCTATCCTACGTAGACGACGACCCCTGCTCCGACTACATCAACGCCAGCTACATCCCAGTAAGATCACTGACTGCTGTAAGGTTGTTTTAACAGGGCTGCCAAATTCAGAAGGAGACAGATGCCTGCTGGAGGTTCTGCACCACATAGAACTTTTATTTATGAGTGATTCTCAGGGACAAATGAATGTTTTCTCTGTATTTACCAATCAGCAGGTCTCTGACGTGCGTACGCCTGTTTTATGTTTTCACACTCTTACAGTGATTCAACCTGTTCCTCCTCTGACGTATGTGACAGCTGCTCTTAATGAACATACATTTTTGTGTGTGTTCAGGGTAATAATTTTCGTCGGGAGTACATTGCCACGCAGGGTCCTCTGCCGGGAACTAAGGATGATTTCTGGAAGATGGTTTGGGAGCAGAATGTCCACAACATCGTGATGGTCACTCAGTGTGTGGAGAAAGGACGGGTGGGTAGAGGAGTCCACGTGGACGTCAGCTGTTTCTCCTGTGAACAAGTCAGAGTCAGATTTTTGTAGATTCCGATCTGTTTTTCCATTGTGTGGGAGGTTAGTGCCACTGTGTGCATTGACAGTTCACATGGCTCACAGGTTAAAATATAAACTTCAGTTGCACAAGGGCTCCTTTAGATTTCCCAGACTAAAGCAAAGGAAGGACAGTATGTGGTGTTAGTTGCTTGGTTGTTTTAAATACAAGCCTGCATTGTCACTTGTTTTCACATGGGCTTGTTCAGATGTTTGAGGTTCCTCCTCTTCTCGCCCTCCAGGTGAAGTGTGATCACTACTGGCCGTGTGATCAGGATCCTCTGTACTACGGAGACCTGATCGTCCAGATGTTGTCGGAGTCTGTTCTCCCTGAGTGGACCATACGAGAGTTCAACATCTGCAGCGTAGGTTACAAATGCTACATTTAACTGGATGTGTGTTTATCAGTGTAATGAGAGTTCAGGTATGGTTTCAGTGTGTTACTCATTTATTGATTTATTTTTCAAATATAGTTTCTTAAAAATGTCCCGGAGGTCTAGACGCACTGATTATAACTACCGAATCCTTCGGTATATATTTATTGGCTAAAGGGAGTCAAATGTTATGAAAATGGTTAAGTCAACCTATAAAATAGTCGGTGTGTTTTTAAATGCACTATGTTAACTCCCCTGTCATTAACGCCACCCAGTGACGTCTGTGTGCTCACTGGTCACTGCAGTGATGGCGGTGCCTCCATGTCACATTTATTCCGATCTGTGTGTGTCAGGAGGAGCAGCTGAGCTTCACTCGGCTGGTTCGTCAGTTCCACTACACAGTGTGGCCCGATCACGGAGTCCCAGAGACCACACAGTCCCTCATCCAGTTTGTCCGCACCGTCAGGGACTACGTCAACAGGACTCCTGGATCAGGACCCACCGTGGTCCACTGCAGGTACAGAACAAAGACTTAGACACTGGGCCACTCACGCTACATCCATTTTATTACTCTGTGTGTTGGTCACAGTCCTGTTTACAGTGTTTATAGCAAAGAGTAAATAGAAATACTACCACTAGTAGTAGAAGTACTGTAATAGTAAGCTGTTTGTCATACATTTAATCCCAAATCATCCACAAGCCAACTTGTTTCTTTCACTGTCCCCTCCACATTTTATTGATGATGATAAGAAGATAAATAACATAAACAGACTGACCTAAAGAGAAATAACTGGAGCTAGAAAAGAAAAATCAGAGAGCTGCTCAGTGTTTGTACAGCTTAAACTCAGTATTTGTGATGTGGAGTCTGGTGTATGTGTGTGCCAGTGCTGGTGTGGGTCGCACCGGGACCTTCATTGTTCTGGATCGAGTGCTGCAGCAGCTGAACTCCAAGGACACGCTGGATATCTACGGCTCCGTCTTTGACCTGCGACTTCACCGTTCACACATGGTGCAGACTGAGGTAGGCCTGAGAGCAGGGCATTGTGGGAGGAAATCAGGAGGACTGAGTGCATCTGTGTACAGCAATACAGGAGTTAAATTTATGTAATGTTTATTCAGGCTCCTCAGTGCTGCTTGTCAAACAGTGATTGGTCAGTGACTGGGTTGATATTATTAATTACATTTTTATAATGGGAATGAAAACATTCTCCATGAGGCTACAACCTGACAAATTTGAGGTTTGGCCTAACTGGAAATTCTCCATTGCTCCCTTATTTATCATCATTTGTCTGGAGACATCTTATTTTCACCTCCACCAAGGAGAGGATGGTTTTGGTTCTCTGTGTGTATGTTGGTTACAGCTGGATGGATCATTAGCATACTGGGTACAGACATTGGTGGGGACCAACCCTAGAAGTGATTTAGATTTTGGCTGGAAAAGGCCAAAGGTCAAGGTCACACAAAAAAAGCACACCTACATAAAAAAATTCCCATCCTTAACAAGGGGCAACATTTTTAGAAAATCATGTCTCTGTCAAAAGTTGTCAAAATCTTTTTTGTTTGCAATTTGACACACTGTCAGGTCTGTTCAGCGCGACCTGCCTTTCTTTCACCTTTCTCTCCCCTGCTCTCTCGTCCTGCGGGCTTGGCGCCTCAGCTGTGGCGCATTCAGTAATCAGTGACTCGTTTACGTGTGGCACACAGCTGAGGCACATTCCGTTAATCACCTTCCTCCTTATTTAAACCTCTGGCAGACGCTCCGTCAACCATAACACACACATATGTAGGGTGGCAGCGTCTGTCACCAGACCATATTTCATCTGGGTTCTGGATCTGATGGCCATTTAAAGTTAACAGTGAAAACCCCATTTAATGCATATTTTTTGCCATAACTTGGCAGAACCTGACACGTTCAGGGAAGATGCACAGTTTAACTGCCTGTCATACCCTAAAAGATGATCCAATTCGGATCAAGGATTTTAGGACACGTTTTGTGTTGGTCTGGATCTCATTTTTCACAAGGGATCCACTTACATTTCCATTATTTCAGGGGACAAAACATTGACTACAATTCGGATCAAGGATTTTAGGACACGTTTTGTGTTGGTCTGGATCTCATTTTTCACAAGGGATCCGTTTGCATGAGTGAATGCTGTGCCTTGGTGGAGGTACATGCGCTCTCTGAACCATGTGGATTTTTTTCAGTAGTGTTACTGCAGTGTCACAACATTTACTGGTCATGTGTAAAAATGTATTTAATATGTCATGGATGTATATTGAAGTAAACTTTTAAGTTGAGCTTACAAACATACAGTTGACAGAGAGCACATCCACAGTTTCTGCTTCTCTTTTATTATCTTTACTTAATTGTTGTTCAGTTGTTTGTGGTTTTCCTCCGGCTTTGCGTTATTATGATGTGTTTGTGTGCTTTAACCGTGTGTTAATTTTTGTGACATTGTGTGTTTTCAGCGTCAGTATGCGTACCTCCATCAGTGTGTCCGTGACGTTCTGAGAGCCAGAAAGCTTCGCAGTGAGCAGGAGAACCTCCTCTACCCCGTCTATGAAAATGTGAACTACAGCGGTCAGAGAGGTCAGTGAACGCCCCTCAGGTCGGCTCACATCACAGCTGAGGATGTGCAGTTGCACACTCACTGATAATCACATGTATTGATCCTTTTTCCACAGAGATGCTGTGCACCAGACGTTAAAGATTGTAATACTGTTTTGTTAAGCACTACAGGGAAACGTGGCAATTCTAGTTTTCTGTCAGTTTATATTTTAAACAACAGATATTTCCACATAGAGATGTTTATGATTATTTATGTAGCATACAGGACTCCTGCCAACAGAACTGAACATGTACCTACATCATATGTGTTTGTTTATATTTTTAACAAATATTTCTGTAACTGCTGCTTTTTAAATGATGCATTGTCTGTGTTTTATAAGCTATAATATTTGCACATTTCAGTTCAGATAAATCATAGAAAACAAATCCAGGTTTCTGTAAACACTGTGTGATGTGGATCCAGTTGGTTTGTGTTCGACCAGAAGATGATTCACGATGAGTCAGAGCGCTGCGAGGGCTTTGTGTCCCAGAAACAGTACATCTGCTGCTTCTCTAAAGAAAAGCTGCATCGTGTCACTGGGAGAGAGATTCATGATGACTGGATGGGTTACTGAACAGGCCTACAGGACACAGGACCAGGGGTCCCGAGCATACAGGGGGGCCCCAGAGCCAGTTTTACTTTTGGCTTGGTCGCATGTTTCTTTGACAGCGGCTCGGTGTTAGGAGAACAAAAGCTGCATCGCAGTGTTGCTGCACGTAAGTTTACTGTTACAGCAGCTTCCAACAACAGGCAGTTTACAGCGCTTTACATACTGTACAACAGAACAGGCATAAAGACCAGAAACATGAGACACTATAAAGAGACAGGACTTAGTAATAAGAAGATTACAATAACTTAAAACAGAATAAAACATTAGAACACAAAATTCTAGTGCATGTGAGATATAAATAATTGGTCCCAAGTTTAATTTAAAACAAGTCGGACAGAAACATCGAGTGTGATTTAAGACTTTATTCGGATCAATGTTAATTTTTCAGCAAAACTATGACAAAAAGTATTTGTTGGCGAGCTGTTTGTCACTATGAAAATGATGCTAAAACAGAATAAAAAAACATTTGATAATGTAGAGTATGATGAAACGTTTACAAATTAAAACTTGACTAATGTCAGAGATGGACAAATGGACATGTAGTAACTCATGTGGACCACAAACTGTGGCTCCTGATCAGTGAAACCAAACCTCTCCTGTCCAGACGCTGACCTGTCGTTAACAAGAAGCGTCTGACATTCAGTAACGTTCCGTCTCTGTCAGCTGACGTTAGCATATGTTGGAAGAAACAGGTTTATGGATTAAACTCATCCACAGTCCAGAATTAGACAGGACGACACAAACGCAGGAAAATGCAGAAGCAGCCAACTTTTCTGAACGGGTCAGATCACTGAACAGGAAGTGCTGCGGATGTCACGTTGACATTACTGTCTGTCAGACATCTGTGTGCTGCTGTCATCAGGAATCAGTCAACTCCAGGATGAATGTGGGCAGTTGACCGTCTAAACATACCTCACCGTCTTCATGTTCTCCCACAGCGTAGCCTCTACTCCCAGGCTCAACCCACTGAACAGGGTTTTAGCCTGAATGGGTCTGAAGCAGCTTCTGCAGAGCACAGGTACACACCTGTAACCATGGTAACTGTACACAGCAAAGATGGCAGCAGCTGTAGCCTCAAAGTGCTTAGATGCTAAAAATATAAAAAATCCTGAATCAAAATGATGAGAACTAGACTAAAGCATCTTTAATTTTTGCAAAATAAAACTAACAAAAATCAAATCACTAAAATTTGACTAAAACGAATGCACATTTTTGTCAAAAGACTAAAACTACAGTAAATTACATCCAGATTCCATAATTAGTCCTGTTTCAGAAATGTGGACCTAATGTCGCAGAAAGCTTTAGACGGGAGTCAGACAGCCTCTCCTCCAGTTCACCAACAGCAGCAGTTTACAGGTGTGGCCAGGGGTGAGGGTTTGGTCTTAGTGTGTGTCTATTATAGATGTTAAACCACATATTACAGCACACTGGACTGAAGACACCTGTGACGCAGCTTCCTCACTCTCCCACTCTTTAATATCCTGAGAGAAAAGATCCCACTGACTAAGATTTTATTGTTTAATTAAAAAACAAAAAAAGTTACAATTTTTAAAAATACACTCACGGACCAGTTTATTAACTACTCCAGTGATATCAGTAATGATTAACATAGAGTTTACAGGGTAGATTCACCTGAAACTATAAAGTGAGGGGGACAGAAATGCAGCACTGCGCTCCCCTGTGGAAGTGTCTCTGACACACAACATCCACGAGCGGCGTGCAGTCTGTGTGTGTCTGTTGTCTTGTAACCCATCCGTCATGTTGTCACCAAACAGCTAAAGCCCCTAAAAACTGGGCTTCAGATCTGGACTACTTTTCTGTAAACATTAAAATTTACACTGAATAAGCAATAATCAAATTTAAAGTTTAGAAAAAAACATTCTTAGATATTATTTATTGAGAGTTTGACACTTAGAAACTGAGTGAGTGTGTTTCATCAGATGTATGGATGTGTTGGATCAGCTTTCACTGACACCAGCTAACAAACCATACAGTATGTATGATCGGGTTTTGATTTAAATGCTGTTAAATCCTCACTGTTGGACAGAAATATGTGACTTCTCAGATGTATTGTGTAACTATGGCGGGTTCTTGTATCACCAAAAGCTACAACTATTTTTCTAAGCACAGATGTATGTAAGATATTATTTCTAAAAGTGTAGTATGTATTTTTACCACAACATTATGTGTGCTTGAGTCTGTAAGAAGAGTAGATGTTAGTGTATGTGAGTGCATCTCATTAAAAGCCAGAGAAAATGTAGAAACGTCTGATTTCTCTAATTATTCATCACATACTGATAGCTGCTGCAACACGACTGTAAATTCACTAGCCAAGAAGGACAATCATCACACAAACAGAACAGAAGTACTCAGATCTCTTACTTCAGTAAAAGTACTAATACCACAATGTAAAATACTGACACAGATAAAGGTTTTGCATTCAAAACTGTACTTATGTATAATCAGAAAAATATACTTAAAGCATTAGAAGTATAGAGGTATTAGAAGTACTCATTTCAAATATTGATAAACAGTTTACTATAACTGGTACATGAATATTTCAGCTGTATTTTACTGTAGTAGTTCTTGGTGAGCTGGAGTTGATTTTAGCTATTTTAAGTAAGTCATTATTTCCTTATGGATTACTCTCCTGATAATTTTCTCAAAAAATCGATTTGATTCCAATGTTTGGTTTGTAAAATTTCAGAAAATTGTGACACCTTCACCTTCTTGTTTTATCCATCCAACAGTGAAATTATTTAAAGGAACCAATCCTCACATCTGAGAAGCTGCTGACCTTTTGGAGGGTCCTGACCCCTAGGTTGGGAACCATGACACTAAACTATCTGCAGTAATACAAACCAGCTCCAACAGTAAAATACCGCTGAAGCATCAATGGCTCAGAGTTAATAATCTGATTAAATAGCTACAGTAACGATATCATCATTCACAGGGGCTAAGTCACGAGTACTTCTTGCACCACGGGTGTGGTAGCTGTTAGTACTTCAGTAAAACCTGTTCCATCAGTCTGCATTTCATATAGGCTATTGTAATGGTGCGTTTGTATGTGTTTGGGGTATTATACTGTATTTTTAGAGTACTTTATCTATGTCACAGTACCGTGTACATCACAGAGTACTTTGTGTATCTCAGATTACTTTGCATATTTCCAAGTACTTTCTGTATTTCACAGTACTTTGTTTATCTCAGATTACTTTGTGAAACTTTTTGTCAGTACTTTGAACAGCCCCTCCGCTGCTGTCCCAAACTACAGGGGCCGCGCATGCGCCATGCCGCGGGTGTCCAGCACATTGGAAGTGTCGGAAGTTTAGTAGCAGTGATTCAGCCCATCAGGCTAATACTAGAGACACGGTTCCATCGTAAAAAAAACTGATTTTCGGCGACAAAAAGTGTGTTTGGACGGAACCTCCTATCCCACAGTGAACCATGGAGGACTACTGATGGATTTAAACAGTTTTTCACTGTTTCATGTGCACAAACAGCAGCGTTACATAGCTTTGAAAGAAGTTGTGATTGTTTTTTTGGCGCTCTGGCAGCGCAGAGGAAAGATGGAGGATCTGCGGGTGTAGCAGCGAGCTAACGCTAGCTGGCTACTCGTCTACTGGCCAGCGACGTTTAGGGACAAACCTGATCTGCTCGCTGCTGTGTGGAAAAGTTTGGATGCTTTGATTCAAGATACTGACGGTGCCTGGTAAGTATGGCTTCTTGAAATGACCGGCGTATTTAGGGTTATTGAACCGCTAGCGGGAGGAGTGCGTCGGTGAGTGGGAGCGCTAACTGTAGCCTCTGAGCTAATTAGCAGAAATCAGTGTTAGCTTATTGAAGCAGCAGAGAAGTCAGATTAGCTCCGTGCTAACTAGCTGCCATTGCACTAACATCAAACCGCAGAGAGTCCGAAGAAAGTTGTTCACACTGTAGTTAGCTAGAAAAGTTAACTTACATAAACTTCTGTAACTTAAACATCAGTCTGGGTGAGTTGGTTATGGTTAACGTAACTGCTGCTCGTTGTGTCTGGGTGGTTCGTTAAGGTTAGGTAGTGTGTTAGGAGCTGGTAAACACCCAGGCACAATTCACTGTGAAAGCTCGGTCTGTGTGGACGGTGCATAGTGAAATCTGGATTAAAAACTCTCCCACAGACTTCAGCAAACTTTATACACTTAGAGCACACGCTGTTTCCAACAGGCCTGCAACCAGTGATAGTTTTCAGTGTTGATTAAATGTGTGTATTAACCTTACTGTCAGTAGTTTATACAGTTAGTAGTTTAATATCCAGTAACGTACTAAAACTTGTAAATGCCAGGGAAAAGGAGCCAGATCTTAGTGTTTGCCTCATTCTATTTACAATTCTAAAATTCAAAAGATATAGAGTTACAACGACCCATTATTTTCATTATCGATTAATCAGCAAATTATTATAGAGAAATCAATTAATTGTTAAGTCTATGAACTATCGGAAAAGACTGAAAAATGTCAGTTTCTTTTAGGTGTCCAGTGTGTCTTGGCTGAAAACAGGTTTTTGCCATTTTTACAATAAAAAAGATTTAGCAGTTATTTATTTTGTCCATCAATTGATGGAATTGGAGTTGGCAGCTCAAAAATTAACAGTAAATTGAGACTGAGAAAAACCAAACATCTTATGGTTAAAGCTGAAGTTAAATTAGTATATTTATTGAGAAATTTCTCACTGATTTATTGTCAATCCAATTAAAAATGTCAAACATGTTCTAACAGTTTCTCCATTGTCAGTTTATCAGTTTTTTTCTTATTTGTTTCACAGTAAATTTTCACTTAGCCAATTACTTTTTTTACCAGTCTTCAAAATGATTAATCAGTTATCAAAACGGTTGCAGATTTTTTGACAAATTATTGCATTTTTTTTATATTAGTATTTTTAATACTGTAAATCTTCTAGTCTTGTATATATCAAAGATAGGCTAGTTACACATGCTACTGTTTCTTTATTCTGCTCAAAGTCCCAAAACTTAAGAAATGAAGAGAAAAAGAAATGTCTAAAATGGTTAAGAAGTTGTAACTAAGTACTGGTTTCTTTTAATTGAGACCTGAGATTGATTGCTGGTATTTTAGTCTACACTGTGCCAAAAATAATTCCAAAAGCCAGTGAAGTGTTACCAGATCAGCAGTACAAATGATGCATAAATGTCTGTTTATTCTGTTCAGAATTCAACTACTCAAACTTACTAGGGTTACAACTAATGATTATTTTCATCAATAATTAACCTGCCAACTAAAGAAAATGTTAAAACATGGTTGCCCTAGGTTCCCAGAGTTCAAGATGCCGGTGTCTGACCAGCATCCTGAAATCTAAAGAGATTCTGTTCACTGTTGTAGGAAACAAAAAAAGTCCTAAACCCAATCAACTAATTGTGCCAGATCTGTAATGATTAATTGATAATGAAAAATCTTGTTTGTTGAAGCCCTGCCATCAACTCATCAATTCAAATGAAATGGTTTAGTACTAAATCTGCAACCTTTGTTTATTTTTATTGTTGATGTGGCGATAATTTTGTTATTCAGTTATTTAGTCTGTAAAGTGTTAAAATGTAATAAAAACTACAGCTTACAGTGACATCTTCAGTGTCCCGGCCCTGACCTACAGTCAAAGATATTAAATTCACTTTAAAATTATGAAGAAAAATAGCAGATCCTCACATTAGAGAAGTTGTGTGTGTCGTATTATGATTTGGTGCATCTCTAGTCTGCACTGCAGTTTACAGGACAACTGAAACATGATGTCAGTTAGTCATTACTCAATCAGTGGCAAATTAGCCTGTGATTATTGATAATCACTGTCATTTCTGTAATCTTTGGTTGGACAAAAACCTTTTTGAGACGTCAGCTTAGGGAATAATGAACTGTATTGAAAATAGTTTCAGGTGCAGTTAAACATATGAGGCTTGAAACTTGTGAACTTTTAACCTGTTCCTGATCCACTTCTCAGCTTGAAAAATTCATTTTAAATAGTAGTGGAGGTAGCTCAGTGGTCGAACAGAGTTATCTTATTAATAACTGATGCATTTTATTAGTCACGGAGTTAGACATAAGGGCTCCTCGTGATTCCCAAATTCGACTTCCTGAAGTCTAAACCACAGCTCGTCCAGTTCATTGTTGATGTGAGACAGATTTTACATTTGAGAAGCTGGACCACAAAATCATTTGACTATTTAGTTTGAACAGTTATTTAAATATTATTACAGCTGTTTTCCTGTTTAGATTTGAATGACTGTTGCACCTGGACATGCAGGTGTTATTTCAAGGCAGCCTTAACATATGAACCTGTCCTTCACCATAACCTGCAGTAAATTTGTCCAACTTTTGTTGATTTGTGTTTGTGTGCAGACCTACTGTTCATGTTTGCAGATCCACTAAAGCATGAGTGTCCCTCAGGCTCTGAGGATGGGACCAGGGCAACTGGAGGCAGGATCTAGGTGAGGTTCCTGTCAGAGTCCACATCAGTGTAGCCTCACAGAGTTCTCTACAGGTCTTAATTATGTCCGTCTGTCCTGTGTCCCAGACATCAGATGGTGCTCTGAAGAAGCCATGGGTAGCTGTTTAAGCTGTCCAGAGAAAAAGTCCATTCCAGATAATCATCAGAGTAAATTCAAGGTGAGTTCCTGCCTCGGCCTGTTTCAACAGCGACTTCGAGCAGTCAAGAGTCTGGCAGCCCACACCCTGGATTATTCACTAATGCCTGTGGTTGGAAGCTTTCACAAACTGCTGATTTCTCAATTTCTGTCACAGCGTCAGCCCAGCACTACACGTTGTTTGCTCACATTCTCATTTTGGTTCAGTCGATGCAGCTTTGATCAGAGCGTCAGCACATTTCAGGCATTACTCATGTCGACGCCACCGTCGTGAAGCCAATAGCTGGTTGGTTTTTGATAGATCAAGGTGGAGCTGGAGTGATTTTAATAAGGCCACACCCCACACAGAATTAAAAGGAATTAAATGTTGTGCAGTTTTACAAAAGTCAAACAGGTTTTTACTGTGCTCTAAAAGAACGACTCCTTCAGAGTAACATGTCATTAAGCAGCAACTGCCACAGTTTTTATTAGCAAATAAGGTGCTGGTTATTTTTTGATTAATAGTTCATTCATACTATGTAATGTCAAAAACAATGAAATGACATCCTCCCAGAGCCCACAGCGACACCTTGTCTTGTTGTGTTCAACCAGAAAATGAAGTGTCTCAGTTGAGAAGCTGGAATCAGAGAATTTCCCTTTTTCATTGTTGTTCAGTCTCCTCTATCGGAGGAGGAAACGTCCTCCTTCCAGACCAGATCCCCTCACTGTGTCTGACCAGCTGTGTCGTCCTCATGAAGCCATTCAGTGACCTAGAGCTGCAGCCATGAGTCAGTTCACTGGTAGAAAATGAACCAGCAGCTATTTAGAAGCAACAGTCACCAACATGTTCTGGTTCCACCTTCTTTAATGTGAAGAGCTGATGCTTTTCTTTGTCAGACATGAGAATCAGCTGAGTCTCTGTGGATCTGCTGGTTGGACACAACAAGACGTGGAGATGCCACCTTTGGCTCTGGAGGGTCACAGGTACACTGGGGAAAGTCTCACTTTTTCCCAGTGTTTGACATTCTGGGGACAAACAGATCAATTAGATCATCAGGACGATGATCAGCTGATTGATCACTGACCCTGCTGGTTGCGTTTCCACTGGTCAGTTTTACTTTAAAGCATCTCTTTCCTCTCTCTCGGATGTTTCCATGCAGGTGATCAATGTGGATGACGATGGGAACGAGCTGGGCTCTGGTGTGATGGAGCTGACTGACACCGAGCTCGTCCTCCACACCCATCGCCGTGATGACGTCAGGTGGCCTTACCTGTGCCTACAGTGCTATGGCTACAATTCCAACCTGTTCTCCTTTGAGAGTGGCCGCTGCTGCCAGACAGGCCAAGGTAAACTTCCTGTATTCTAGCTGTGACAGAGGTCATTGTTTATTTACCCCAGAGAGGAGTTAAATCACCACAGCAGAAAAAAGCATTTAAAACACAAATGACAACATCTAAAGGGAAAAGTAAAAGTGATGGATTAGATTATACTCATATATTACACAAAATGGCTCCTTCACTGTTTTTGTATTGTTCTAAACAGCTGGTTGCTCTGGACTCGTGTACAGTGTTTAAAAGAGAAGATGGTGTGTTTGTTGAAAGAAAACATTGCCATCTAAACACGTCCGTCTCATTCATCTGTTCAGACTGAGCTGTAAACAAAATTCTGACATCAGGAAAACAGAACAACATTACAAAAGGCTGTAAGAGATTCACAGACAAAAAATTGAATTAATTTAGTGATTACTTGTAATCAAAGCGTCACAAGCAACGTTCACATCTTAGCTGAAGTTTCCTTCCGAGTGACTCAGATGTGAATAAACTGAATTAGGATCAGTATTGTTCTGTTTTAATTAGTTTAACAAAACTGTATTTGGAAAAAAAAGTACTTCATGCAGGTTTTCTGTGTCCTTAAAACGTCTTTAAAAAATAAAATCCAGTATTGTAATTTTTAGGCTTTTAAATGTCTGAAACTATTAAATACAAGTTTGAAATATCTTGTTCGTTACTTTAACTTGAAGTTGTCATTGCTTTCATAATGTCACATTCACTTCAGTCGTGCTTTTATGTTTTTTGAGAGAATGTTGAGGAGAGTCAGTAGTACTGTCTGCGGTACGGTGGCTCCATGTTGTGTATTTCTTTCTCTCATCAGTTAGTATTTATCATGCAGGATTAAAACTACAAACCAAACCAACATGGGACCACTTGGTGAGTGTGCGGTGCTGTGTGAGATAACATAGTATGGCTGTGCCTGACTAATATGGGGGAATGCAGGTTTAATGAGACCTGTGCTGAAAACACTGTGTTTGGTTGAAGCCTGTTAAACACAATGAATTCAAAGCTGCACCACGGGCAAGAAAACGCTGACATTAGGAACTTTGGGTATAAAGGCACTGGAGTCACATGGGAAGTCAGAGAAAACATAAACAGCTGTTGAAGTGCTCCAGTAAACGCCTGGCATCATATAATATTGTTGTGTTAACATCAGGAGAGTTATCAGTCATCAGGGCACTGGCGCAACCCACTCTGCGCCGACTCAGCAGCACCTCCCAACTATGCAAGGACTCTGTTTTTATTATGTGAAATAGGTTTTAAGTTCGTGGTGATCCTACAAGTCTTCCATTTGATGAAACCTGCTGAAACCATGTGATAGTTTCTCACGCTTGATGCTGTGGAAACCTTTCAACTGGTTACTCAGAAAATATTGAGGTTTGGTGCCCAGCTCTAGTTGTAATTAGGTGAAATATTGTGTATTTATACATTTTTCACATGAATCCACATTAAACTGAAAGTGTTCACTTGAGAAAATCGGGGTTCTTTTACAGAGGTAATGGCAGAGTCAGTGCATCTTTGCTGCAGAATTATCTTTAGTCTGTGTTTCGGCGATAAATCAGTTTCTGATTTGTTTCGTGATGCTCCTTCACTGTTTTTGGATCCATGTCAGGAGGATGTGGCGGTGACGGCTGGGGTCAGGGAGGGGCTCGGTAAGTCTCAGGCAACGAACGCTCCTCATTCATACCCCGACCCCCGAGTGTTGTGATCGGACTCTGACCAGCCTGCGACGGGTGCTGATCAGATGATCGGTATTGATTAGCTGTAGATGAAGGTGTCTGTGGTGTGGATATCCAGGTGTTAATACCTGTGTTACTATTGTTTCTCCCTGTGTGCAGTCTCACTCTCCCCACATGTACAGTTTGTCCTTGTTGCGTTACCATACCCTGTTGTTGTGATGATGGTAGTAGTGATGTTGGGGCTTCTGTGTGTTTTCAGGTATTTTTGCCTTCAAATGTTCTCGAGCTGAGGAGATTTTCAACATGCTGCAGGAGGTGATGCACAGTCACAGCATCAGTGTGGTGGAGGAGGCGGTGCTGGAGCCGAGCCACTCAGCAGCACACACTCCTGCAGGTATATACATGCACCTATATACTCCTGCAGGCATATACACATAAAGCAGCTTCAGAAAGTATTCACCCCCCATCCATTTTATACATTTAATTGTAAGTAGGTTTACCCATCATTCTACACTTGGAGACAGTGGGAAAACTGGTTTTTAGAAATGTTTGTGAATGTATTAAAAATCAGAAACTGAAATCTGCCACTTTCAAAAGTCTCCAGAGCCTCTGCTGTGCCTCTAGACTCTGCTTAGGTGCATCCTGTTGAGAGGAGTCTAGAACCTGACTGCAGTCCAGCTGTGGCACACTGGGCTGACTGGACAGAGTTAAAAAGGACACACATCTGTGTGTATAAGGTCCCACAGTTTACACTGCAGGCCAGGACACAAGCCAGGACATGAAGTCCAGGGGCTCTCTGTGGTCAGCTCCAGATCAGGACCAGGGGATCAAACCATGTCTGAAGCTCTGAGTGTCCCCAGGAGCACAGTGGCCTCAGTGACTGGGACATGGAAGGAGTCTGGAACCAGCAGGACTCTTCCTGGAGTCGGCATCCGACCGGACTGAGAAGGGCCATGGTCAGGGAGGAGACCGTGGACCCAACGGTCCCTCTGGCAGAGCTTCGGACGTTGTCTGCAGAGATGGAGATGCTCCTGGAGGACGAACTTCTTGGCAGATTCTCAGTCAGTCTGGCCCTTATGGTCAAGTCGCTGTGCCTGAAAGGCTGATGAAGCCACTGGAGTTTGTCAAACACCATCTGAAGGACTGTGAAGCTGGACTTGCAGCAAGAGGGACTTTCACAAAGTACTGAATTAAAGATCCGAGTACTGTTGTGAATGAGAGATCTTCATTTTTAACTTTCAATAAATTTGTAAAAAAATGTATCTTAACTAAAAAGTTCAACTAAAACCTGACTATAAAAGAAACGCCGCAAGACATTTGATGTGAAATTTCTGGAGGTAATGTTTCATTCATGGCAGCTTTAAAGAAAAAGTGCCTGATGCGACTCCTGCTGTACTGATGAATGAGTGAATGAACCGACATTATACTGAAATTGTAAACATGTAGGAAGAGCCGAGTTTGTATCAGCTGTAGAAATACAAGTCTACAATATAAGCCGGTCTCTGGACACACCTTGAGAATCGCATAACTTTAATATCTTTTCTGTTCACTAACACGTTTCTTAATTTTCCTGTATGGTCACGTCTCCCCTCTCTATGCTGTGTTTAGCTCTGGGGTACTCAGTGCCGAACGGTGTGACCAGGACCCCTTCTGTGGCCGAGGCTCCGTCTCACCCCTCCACCCGTCACCCTTCTGTTGCCAGCACTCGTCTGCCCTCTCTAGGGGAGGAGTCCACACACCCTCTGCTGGTGGGCGACGAAGTGGTGAGAATCAATCACATCACTAAAGACACTGAGTCTTAGTCCTCAGATTTACTCTGAGCTTGTATGAAGCCACTTTTGTGTCTTTTTAATCCAGTCAAAAATCAAGTTTGTTTAAAACAAGTGGGCACCTTTTTACATCAAAAAATGTATTGCAAATTAGAAAGTTTTGCTTGTAAGTAATACATTTTTGAGTGAAAAAGTTTATTGAAACCTCTGCAGTTTAAAATCTGTGTAATAGTATGTCTTTATCAGCCGGTCGACGCTAAGTGAGAGCTGTGATGAAGTGATGACTTTGACAGAGGTCTCTGACCTTTACCGTCATTAATTCATTCATGTACCAGGGCCTGAATTGTACTGAAGGTGCAGAAACTTAAAGGGACCCCCACTGTCATGAACTGATGGCACTGAACATCAGAGACCTTGGGCAAAGTCATTAGCTCAGCACCGCTGTCACTCAGCGTGGACTGGCCAATAGAGATGCATTATTTTGCATCACCCCTCCCACTATATTGTAATGTGAACCGCAACCAAAAATTTTTGAACCTCAAAACTTTTTGATGTGTAAAGCATGCAACTCCCTGCTGTTTTAACACCTGGGGCTGCGTCGATCAGGGGTGGGGGTGTTGAAGGCGTGTACGATATGGCCACTTTGCAACAAGTCAGCGTGAGTGGCTTTATTCAGGTCTCCAGCTCATGAGTATCAGTTGTGTTTTGGTTAGCCATGCTGCTAATGTAGCCTACTCTACCTTAGCACCAATTCTACCACCAGTTTGTCTACACTGACAGATAAAACATAGTTTAACATCCAGTACTAACAAAAAGAAACTGTGCCTCATTGGGCATTAACTGTGGACAAAATACAGCAGTGAAAAGCAGTGTTAGCTTGTGGTAACAAGGTAAACAAAAGAGTTTCCTTATTTTCCAAATAAAATAGGAAGAATTAGATGAGACAGTAATATTTCCCACATGGAAACAAAAGAATGCTTCTAAAAATGCAGCCAGTTTAAACATAGCACAACTGATACTTGCATTTAACTGCTGCTCTGTGTGTGTGTGTGTGTGTGTGTGTGTGTGTGTGTGTGTGTGTGTGTTGAGGTTCACACCTACGTGAACACC